AAAATGAGTTGAGTGATCCTGTATATTTTTGAAGGAAGGACTTTTCACTATGTGAATTCATGTAAGGAGCTTGACTGACTTTGTTTCTAAGTCATTGAGTATGAAAACTGAAATGTATTCTTTTTCCCACTGTCTGCAGGGAGAGAAATGGGTGGCAAGTTATGCACAAACACTAAAGATCTCTGAACTCTGTATTTTGTGTTTACTGTATTAGACTTTCTACCGAGTACCGTTGTTTCTTTGACAAGCTGTTAGAGATCTCCTGTTGCGGCCTTCAAGGCACTCCGTCCCTTCTGCTATTGCAGCGAAACCGTGTGCTCCTCACTGTAATGTTTCCTGTATTTTCTCTTGGATAAAGGCCTTTATTTTTTAACACATGCATTTAATCACTGTATGTATAAGTGGAGTAAAATCCTATCTGTCTTAACAATTTAAGAAGTAGGGATAAGATGGGGATAAGATGGTTGAACATCATGGGGCCACCTTACAACTTAGGGTAGAGTGTATGCATTAAGAATTTTGACAACTGTTTTTGCATTTCATTGTCTGTTGCCAGTTTTACATGTTTTATTCATTTCTCTTGAAAAAGAAAAAAAAAGTGTCTGAAACATCTTTTTTTGCCTTGACTTTGTACAGCATACTGAAAAGTAAGTCTTTATTATGTATAATGACCATTTGTACTATTACACACCATACTGTAACATTATACTCTTAACGCAGGTTGTTTGTATTTAAAGTCTGTCACTATAAATCACTGTTTTAAGAACTGAAAACTCAGCAGAAATTCTCATAGGTGGGGACTTGACAGACTGTAAATTTAGCATATGTTGAAATGTAGTACATATACTTTAGTGCAGGATTAGTTATTTGCAGCACTGGCTGAGTTTTAATTTCATTCCCATCTTAAATCTAAAGTAGCTCTTTCTTTGTTGTAACCTTGCAGTGTTTGTTCTCCAATACAACTGAAAAGGAGACTGTCCAAATTAGCATTTTTCTGCAAAGTGCTCTGCATATACGCTGCTTGCAAATTTTGGTTCTTTATCCTACTGGGGTTAGTATGTAGGTGTAAACCAGATGACTTGCATATTGCAGGAACCCTTAGGTATTCATATCACTCTTCAGTGGCAGTAACATTTGCCTTTTGGTTGAAGAGATGTACCTAAATGTTTTAGCACTTGTGTTGTCCCACGTGAATAATTTTTATTACAATCATTCTTCACTCAAAGTGTTCTTATTAAAATGTCATATATTTTTGTTAGCAAAACCTACAGGTGCAGAGCCTTCTCTGTGCATCCCTCTGACTACACGGGAGGATGTAGTGAGGATGTAGCTCTGTTATGCCCGTGCAGCCTGGATTAAGAAGCAACAGATGCTCCTGCCACAAGACAGTTTTGTTCTGTGAGACTTATGTTCATTGCACTCCTGTATATTGTTTATACCTCTTGAACAGTTCATTGGCTGTATTATCTGAATCTTGCCTAAATTCTTTGCTTTTGGCTGATAACACTGCCATTAGCAGAAAACTTCAGTAGTTGTTAATGCCTTAGTGAAATAAAGATTCACTAAAGAGCATGAATGATGCTGCAGCTCTGTCACTCCCATGTTGTATCCATTCAGTGAATGGGTGTTCTCCCAGTACATGGGACATCGTTAGATGCAAAGCGGTAATGCTAGGGATGTATTTCCAACTGGAAATAACAAATCTCAAAGTTGTAAGACTGATCACACTAAGATTTTTATGCTTGTGTGTGTGTGGTTAATTTAAAAAAGAAAATTAAATATTCCACTTAAGACAATTTTGGAGCTTTCTTATTTTCAGTATTTAAGGCAAAACTTACCTTTTGTAGTCAGAATTACTATCTGTCTTCCTGTTTAATTTTCTTATGCTTCAGTAAAATTTGACTTTATTTTCTTCATTATTGGGCTGCAGCGTATCTGACACGTAGTTTTGCATCACTTCTGTAGAAGTATGTTAAACTAAAGGGTACTGAGCAGCTGAACATGCAGCACTCTCTGGGAGTTATGCAGGGGTACATGTTTAAGACTCAGTGAGCCTGTGCTTTGAACCTGTTAATTCACCCCTTCAGGTTGAGAGCTGCCAGATAACAACAGAATGAATGATTTGTATTCATGATTTGCAGACCCTGTGTGGGAGTTCTGTTATGCAGCAAGATAATACACGTGCTGCTCAGATTCCAGTGACGGTACCTGAGCCCCTACTGCTTTCCTCACAGGGTCAGAGACCTTGGGTTGAAGTTGCAGTACCTGAACACTAATTGTAGCAAAATTAGAGAGCAAAAATGGTCCAACAGGCTTGAATTCATCAAAGCGACCTTGCCATCTTTTTGTAGGAAGCAACAGTTGTGCATATTTTCTTTCTAATGCACAAATAATATTGACAGAAGAAAATATTTCTGTTAAATATGGCATGCAAATAGGTAATCAGAATTATAGAATGACAAACACAGCAATTCTTCGATTTAAGGTGAAAGATGCTATAATGGAATAAGAAAAACTTGCTAATGTTCCTTGTCAAAGTCTTCTATATGAGTCATCTCAAAGCCAGGTGAGTCCTAGTACTGAACTAGACTCATTCTCTGGTTTCTAGTAGTAGGGTAATACTGATAAATAGTTTGTCAGTTCTGCTGAACTGACTAAAGTTGGTCAAAAAAATTAAAAATTAATCTGGGCCAGGAGGAATACCACCATCATTGCAAGGATAAAGATGTATCATTACTAATAAATGACTTAAATGTGAGTGGCTAAAACAGATAATGTATGTAACTGTTTTTATCACCATTGTGATCTCAAGTTAAATGTAACAGATTTTTAGAAAAAAAGGTCAACATACCATAAATCCTCAAGTAGAAAAATCAGTGTTTAAAACTGAATATTCTGTGTATGCCATTCCTGTAAAATCCTTACAAGTTAATTCTGCTGTTCTTGTGTGACACTTGTTGCATCATGCAACTTAAAACATGTTTGTTTGCTTACTGTTTGGTCTGATACAAGTCATTACTTTTGTGGTTATATTAAATTGTCAGTATATTAAATTTCAAAAAATTGCTATTACCCTGTAGCTGTGCAACCTCAATCTGACTGAGAAATTTGTGTGCCTGATTCTAGTCCGTGTGTTGCCAACAGCTGGGATGCAAGACAGAATATGAGATACCCTCAAAGAAACAAGTGTGGGCACCCCAGTCTAACAGAAATGCTGTTTCTGAGCTCTTGCCTCCGATTTCTTCACCTGGGGTTGAAATACAAAATATGGATTCTGTTCTGCTCTTTCTGGTCATCTTTTTCATGATTGGTCTGGCCAATACAGTGACAAGGTTTAAATCAATAATTGTAGACATTGAAGTGGCATTAAATTATTATTAATATATTAAAGATGCCTGGTGCATTTTCTGAAAAGAAACAGGTAAATCTGTTAGTTGGGGGTTTTATGTTGTTTTGGTATTTATTTTTTTTTTTTAGTAAAACACAAGTCAGCGTCTGTGTCTGCCTCTTTACCCAGGTATCCAAGGAATATCAGAGGTAACATACTCTTGCTTCCTCTTGCACACGGTTTTGCACACAGAAAAACAATTTGCTTGCTTAACACCCCAATAGGGATTAATTGGCAGTGTCTTAGGTTCATTACCAAGGTGTTGGACTTGATGACTTTTATAGGTCCCTTCTAACCCAACTATTTTTAAAAAATAAAAATTCCTTTAGCTAGTGGTACAACAGTGAGCATTTAAGAGAGAAAACAAAGCTCAGCACTTTTTGCCTGAATAACCCTATATGTCCTTAAAACCCCCAAATATTGAAGGAATATTCTAAGCAACAAGAAGCTATGTTCAACTTAACTATTGCACAGCATGATTTCTGAGAAAACTCATGCTGTGTATTATTGTAAAGGGTTTTATTGCTGTTGAATAGCTGGAAGATTTTAAAAGTGGAATTACAGAATTAATTCCACCAAACTCTTACAAACTTTTCACAGTCTCAAAGCTGAAGCTTTGATTGCTTTTGAAGCACCCACCTGAAGTGCTGTTTCTGCAAACAAAATGCAGTGACAGTGACCTTGTAGCAGCTGAGGTTTCCAAGAAGTGCAGCTCTGAGTTCCCCTGCAGAGCCCTTTTGCCCATCCAAGGAGTTTAAAACCATGGATCTCCAGAGTTTTGGGAGCCTGACATGAAGTGCTCCCACCATGGGCTGGGGCCCTGAGAGCATCCAGGTGTGATGCTCCAGCTGTAACACTCACTGCCACCAAGGCAGCTGTGGTTGGTGGCATCACTCCAGCTCCTTCCAGCTGAGCTTTAACCTGAACCAAGTTCAGAAGGCTGAGGGCTGAGCCACAGAGGTCTCTGCTCCCCTCAGGGCACCACCACCCTTGGGTGAAACAGTGCAAGACTGACAGACTACAGCGGGTTGCAAAATTCCAGGTACACTCTAAAATCTGCTAGTTTTGACCCACAGCCACAGAGCATGGTGATGAGCAGTAATTACTCATCATCAGTGTGAGCTGAGTGAGTGAGAGGGTGGAAGGAAAAAAATAAACCCAAAACCCACTCACACGAAGAGTTAAGTAACACTGGATATAAAAAGTATCATGCACAAGACACAAATACTTTGTCTGCCAGTTGACAAGTCAATTGTTTCACTCTGTGGCTTCACAGATGATGATGCAAAGTGGATTTGTGGTGTAATAGCTGATAAAATACAATTCCCCTTTCTATTATCTTTTAAAAGAAATACACAGCAACCTCAAGTTACTGTGAGCTAATGGGAGAAGGATGGTTGGAGAGGGCATTACAAGAGCCAGAGCTCATTTCTAGCCTCAGTTTTGACCTCTGGATGCATGTATTGCTTTTGACTTCCTGAGTTAAAAAATGGAGGTATCTGTGTGTCTCTTGTAAGTATTGTGATATGTTTATTCAAAATATTCAAAAAGTGCCAAATTACAAATGGTAATGTGTAGGACACTCTGTTGTTTATGAAAGTACCATAAACAGTTTATTAATGGTTTTGATTTATTGCCAGGATTTATCTCTTGTCCCCCAAAAGTCTGGTTCACACACTACATATACAACAGAGAAAAGCTGAAATCTCATGATAGGACAAAACAACTTTAGTTTAAAAAACACCCAGGAGAATGGAGGAAAGGCTAGATTTTGACAGTTTCTGTGAGTTCAGCAGAAGCACAATTACAATTTGCAATAGAGCGGTATTGACTCTAGAGAGGAACTGATAGCGTTCCTTATTGCCAAAAGAAAATGCCAATGCTACCAAAACCCATTAAATGCTTGCAACTTGGAATCAAGGATACTTTGGTGCGTGTGTATGTGTACATACGCGTGCGCTCGTACAGAGAATTTTTTCTTGGCTTCTGTGTGCTTTTTGCAGGCACTTGCTTATCCTGCGACTTGCCAGAAGTAGCCGGGAGGATGCATTAATCCTGTTTGCTGTTGCAAGACTGTCGAACAGATGATTTCTGATGCTCCAACAACGTGATGGACTTTTCAGAATTTTCCAAGTTTCTGAGCAGAGTCTCTAGCCGCCTTTTGATTTTCTTTTGATCTTCAATGGCACATCCGATTACCACAGACTGAAATTTCTGATCGATGGGTCCTGCCGGCACGTCGGATGTGCACGCACCGTAAAGTGATATTAAGCGCATTTTGGCGTCTTCCAGATCATCTAGAAGTTTATTGACGATTTCATCAATCATCTTTGTGGCATGCAGTAGGGATTCCTGCTGCTGGGCATTCCGGATGGTTTCTACAGAAACCTCCACAGTGAGGGTTCGGCCCATCAGGCGATTAGCAGTCAAATTAAGTTCTTCTCTCTCACCTAAATTGAAAACAATAAAGTATCCTTGGTTACAGGCAAATACGCTCTTGTGCAAATAGCATCATCAAGACACTCAAACTGCTGTAACTTAGCAATAAACAACGTTTGTTTAAGTAAGTGACAATCAACAAGATTTCCAGAAGCCAGAAATAAGCTTTTTGCATTTGCCAAAGTCCTACTCATTTGATAGAAGCCAGTGTCTTCTGATTTGAAATGAGGCATTAAGCTCTACTAAAAATGTAAGCAATGCTTTTCTACTGCTGACACAATGCTTACTGTGTCACATTAAAGTAAAGTGTACAATATTACCAAGAAACATTCATTAACAGAACTGACCTTCTGTGCCACACTGAGGGAGAGATTTAGACAATATCCCAGAACACCATAAAGGGAAAACTAGAGGCCATGAAAAAAAATGGTTTTCTATTTTCTGAAAACATAGGTTCTTTTCTAAAATATGGACACAACATATTTGACATGTAGGCTCTTGAAGAGCCAATAAACCAGCAATTTAAAGCACCTAATACTAGGTTTAGGGAATATATTTAAAGCCAAATATCATACAACTACGACAATGATCTTAATCATCAGGTTCTTCCAGGCTGTACACTTTGTAACCTGTCCAGTAGTCAAAATCATTAAAATGCTGGGGTTTCAACTATATTAAATCATCATAATCGTCTCTCCCTCTGCTGAGCTATATTAAGCCTGATTTTGGAAATATATCAGTGAGCTGAGTATGGGCTTTCACATATACAGTAATGACATTAATGGTAGTTCATCTACCTAAACAGCATGAATTTACAGTTAAGAAAAGGGGATCTCAGGGAAATGGGTGGCCCTTAACAGCCTCAGCTGGCTCCAGTGCTGCACCTTTACTGGCAGCAAGGAACCATATTGAGCTGCTTCCCAAGGGACAGGCTGGTTTGACTTTGGGTCAGTTGGAGGGTATGGCAAAGCAGCTTCTCACCTTCACTGATGTGCCTCATATCCTGGCTGTTTTGTATATTGTGGATCATTTCTAGCAGGATTTCTTTCTCTTGTTCCATAGCAGATGCTGCGTCACGGAAAGCCTCTACCCTGTACATGGTTGAACCAAATAAAATGTTTAAATAATAAAATAGCTGTTCATCTATATAGCTGCCAAAAACTTATTTTTTAAACTTCAGCTTAAAGAAGTACAGTCATTTCTTAATTATCCATGAGCCAGACTCCCTCATTTCACTACCTTTTCCTGTATCTTAACTTCACTTTTCAAGACTCAGTATAGTTTTAAAAAACAAACAAATGGAGGGGCAAACCAAAACAACAGTAATTCAATCAGCCTGCAATTATTTATTTTACTGATAGTGCTGTTCTGTCCTATTCCAAGGTTAATCTGGATACCGAGAGCCTTATGGTCCTACAACCATGTAGCAGAAGTCCTTACAGCCAACTGGCAATTATTATCAGCTGCTTAACCAGAAGGGAAATGGACCGAGTCCATTGGGGAACTTGGCAGTGAAAGTGGCAGCTGCAGGGAAGGAGGCAGCAAAGGGCCCTGGCTGCCGGTGGTGCCCCCAGACCAGCAGTGCAGAACCCACGTGATCCACCTGCAAAGCAACAAACACTCAGAAAACTGAAATGCTGCCTTGCAGCCGAACAACCCCTTTCACAAAGGAGAAAACCCTGCGAGTGGGACAAAGTTCACCCACTTTTATTAATGTGACAAGGGCTTCCCCAACAAGTGGTGTGCCTTGGTCACTGGGAGAAGAAACTGGACTTCCTGCCCCCACTGTCACTGGTGCTTTCCATGGATCAATGCTCCATGAAGTGACTCATAGAGGGAGGAAGCTTCTGTGGGAGCAGTTCCTATTTCTGGGCATGCAGAGAAGCACGTCAGTCAGTTCCTCCTGAAACCGGAGCCCTACTCCAGTCCTGTTCTCTGTGCTGAAACTCACATGTGATGCAGTGAGGGCAAGGGGAAAGTCCATTGGGAACTGCTGTCCCTGTAATTACTGGATCTCAAGTAAGCTGCGTGGTTTGGTGCCTATGGTCTGCCCTCCTCGTGGCACAACACAGACCCAGCTCTCCATGGGCAATGTGAAAATGCCACATGAGAAATCTGAGTCCAATTCCTTAATTCATGTCTTATTCTCAGCCACAGTTTTAAGGAGAGGGCTTTTGTATTCAGCTGAGTAATACAGAAAAGAACATCTGGGAACTCTAATGCAACACTTTGAAGACCAGGTACAAAAGAGGGAAACATCCCACTCCCTTGGCTTTTCCCTGAAGACTTGAGGGTAGGGGCTTGCAGAGGACTTGCCAAGCTGAAACTGGCTGCAAGAGCTGCACCAAAGCCATCAACTCTGCATTCCCACGCCCCACAGAAAAGCAGAGGATCACGTGAACCTGGCTGACAGTTTCAGACACTTGCAGCACACAGCTGAGGAGGTCTAGCTGCATCACGAGAATCCATCCATCTATCCTGAAATGTTTATCAAACCTGGCCAGAAAAGGAGAAACAAACCAAAACATTGTTAAGTCTCTTAGATGCTCTGTGCTCCTCAACATTACTGAGTACTGCCCAGAAATGGTGCTGCCTCTGCAGAAAAAGGTGTATCTCTTGAGACAGGCACAGAGCTGCTGCTCCTTTCTCACAGGCTGGCTGAGGACAGGTAACTTTGGAAAAACAGCAGGAAGAGAAAAGAGGGTGAAAAAGAAGGCAGAAGAATGGGAGCTTTTGGGGATATAAAATAGTCATGCTTCACATGCAGCCTGCTCATGAAATGGTTCTGTTTTACAAAATATTTTGCCTAATTTAGTCAGTGAAAGCACAGGCTTCAGGCCTTGGCTTTAATGTTCGCTCTGAGGAGGAATGGGAAAAGTTAATGCAATGCAAATTCTTGCCGAGAGCAAATGCTTTTAATTATTATTTTGGACTGGTAAGAGCAGTAAGTAAGTAAGAGCAATGAGGCAGGTGGAGTCATTTCATACTTCAGATGTCTTCACTTTATAATTTAGGAAGTCTAGCAAAATTTTCATAATGCCTTGCCATGCCTTTTTAAAAAAATAGTATTTTCACAATTGAAAAAATGTGGTTGCTGGAAAGCTGTAAATAAAAATTTTGAAGTGCAGAATTTAATTTTTAATAGTGCTTTTAAATCAGATTCTGTATATCATTGCATTGACTTAAAAACTATAAAGTTCTGCCTTCAGTAGACAGATCAAACTGTGATTTCCACAGGCTTTCCTGGGTCCTAAGAAGAATGTGGAAAAACTGCACTGCAGAGATGTATCTTGAATTGGTACAGTTCTAAAGAGAGTGCCTAAAATATCACTGCTCCCAAAACCCAGCTTGGTATGTGAGGTAGGACCTAAAAGCCAAATTATCAGAATTAATGTTGTGTACTGAAAAAACAAAAAAAACCAAAAAAACAAAACAAAAAACCCAAAACAACCAAAAACAAAAAACAAAACCAAACCCATAGTTTACCAACTAGAACTTTGATTTACATTAATTTACAGAAAGTTCATAACCAAATCTTAGGAACTATTTTATTTGCAATAATTGCTTCCTCAGAATTATTTTTACCATTTTTTCAACTGCAATATAGAGTGCAACACAACAATGGGACAGGGTCATTTCAGAACAGCGCTCTAGTAGGAAAAAAAAATGAAAAGGAAACCACATACATCAACCTCAGGAAAATAATGCTCCAGAGAAAATACTGAGTGGCTTTACCACGGTGAGAGACCCACCATAGCCTCAATCTGTTTTGCTGCCCTGGCTTGTAGCAAGGCCTCTGCCCGTCTCTGTGCTGGGGTGGGTCCCAGTGGCTCCCCAGCTACAGGCCAAGGAGAGACCCTGGCCTGGCAGGGACTGCACACCTTTCCCTCCTTACTTGTTGCAAGAGTGTCAGGACCACACCTTGCAGTCGGCTCTCATAACTTCTTTCCTAAAATGTGTCTTAACTTCACAGGTTTCTTTAAATGTTTACTTTCTTTGTTCAGGGCACCAAAAAAAAAAAAAAAAAAAGAAAAAGGTTGGAGGAGAAACTTCTAACAGAGGTGACTGCTGTAGGAAGGAGTGGAAAAACAACCCAAGTCTCAAAGAAACAACCAGCCAAAGAATAGAAGGCAAAGAAAAGAGAACACAAAATACTCATATTCATGCCTAGTTATCAATTATTTCAATGCAGCAGCATGGTCTTTTTCTAACAGATGAAAACATCCAATCATATTTTTACTTGGAGTGTATTTGCCACTTTGAACATCAACTAAATAGCCCATCTATTACCTAAGACTGAAGAATACATTCCTTACTTCTGATTTTCCTCGTCCAAGAGCAATTAGCTGTGCAGTGCCTTTCTTTGCTACATACCATTTATATGAGCAGAGCATTCCCCTGAGGAACAGGTGGACCAGCCTGTGCTTTTGTTTCCAGATGAGAAACTCGACACCTGCTTTCTTAGGACAGCTGCAATAACTCTGTCCTTTAAACTACTGACTGACTTAAACAGCTCACTGTTAAAGCCCATGTGCTAGAGGTGCAGATAAGTTTTCAGAGGAAGTAAGAAATATCTGAAGCTGCTTTTTTCCTGAAATGGAGCTGAGCACACTAGACAGAGACAAAGCAGGGGCTTTCACTCTGACATCCTCAGGTGCTTCAGCTGAATGTCCATTCCCAAGTGAGCAGTCCCATGAACACAAGCATGAACAGTGGGGGAATATGGCTGATCCAAAGGAGAACAAGAAAAGTACGAAAAATTAGGTTAAAAAAACCCAAAATCAGAAAGAGTCTGACTTATGTATCATCACACCTAGAACTATGTGTTCACTTAACCACCAGAACACAGTGACTCATACACAAGAGACTCTGGTCCCCCTTCCAGCTGCTCCCGAGATATCTTGGCAGCCAGGGCAACATGAAGGTCCAAGCTCTGGCAAGGGGCACATGTGCCACCTGCCCCCCTTGCCACCCCTGCCTGGGGCACTCACTCCCCAGCAGCCAAATTAATTCCCCTTTCCTGCTCACTTTCCAAGCAGAAGAAAGCCCCGCCACAAACACCTATCAGGGAGGTACGAAAATACCCCATTACTGTTGGAAAATAAGCCCTTACAGTGAAGGGAAAGAGAGGAAAAGGAAGGCTGTTCAAACTGGAGCATTTTACAATGGCTTCAAACAGAAAGAATTTATATATTAGGAAGAAATTCTTCACTGTCAGGACACTGAAGCATTGGAACAGGTTGTCCAGAGAGACTGTGGACTCTCCATCCTTGGAGGTGTTCAAGGCTAGGTTGGATAGGGCCACTTGGTCTAGTGGAAGGTGTCCCTGCCACAGAAGGGGATTTGGAACTAGATGATCTTTGAGGTCCCTCCCTATCCAAATCATTCTTTGATTCTATGATTTCCAAAGGGATGAGAGTTGCTTCAGAGTTTGTCTGACCTTAAGCAACTTGAGAATTGAGGATTGTTGAGGGGTTTAATTAAAGACTGTAGTTCACTTTGACAAACTTTCACTTATATTTACAAGCAACATCTCAAGGGTCTATAGTTAAACCAAACCAGCTGGAGAATGAAGAGGTTTGGAAGCTTTTTCTCCTGTCATTCACATAATTTTGAAGTGAGGCACATTGATTAGTTGTGCTTCATAAGACTTGAGTGACTTCTATCAAATTAGTTTGACTTTTTTTTAATGGCTATTCTGCATTTAGAACTATGCCTGTTTGAAAGACTTGAAAATTTAATTGGAGGTCCAATTTCTGGCTAACCAAACTGTCTGCTTTGTTTCAGAGTCACTCAGCAAATTTAAAACACATTTTTGCATATTCTGATGCTCATTTTGTGATTATATATTCATCATGCACTAGACCTGCAAGTAAGTAGGGAGACTTGTTTGCAGACTGGGATTTTGTTTAGTCAAATACAGAGAAGTCTGTGAAGGACTTCAAGGAGATTTAATCAAGCTAAGTGAAAGGCTAATATAACAGCACATCAAGTCCACTCCTGAATAATGCAAAGTAATGCAGGCAGAAAGGGAAAAATGCAACTCCTGCATCCCACAGAGCTCTTTTAATTACAGGAAAGTCCTAGAAACATTCTGGGTGGTTCTGTGAAAGCCGTTGATCAATATGCAGCTGTAATGAAGGAAAGGGTGTGTTGAAACAGTACCAGAGGAGGTGAATCAGTGGCATCCTGCACATCTATCCACCTCAGAAAGGACACTGTGTAATTAAGCAGAGCTGAGAGAACAAGAAAGATGATTAAAGGTAAAGAATCATCTCTCATGAGGCCAAACTGGGAAAAAAAGTCAAATAGTATTATTTATGGAATGTCAAATTTTCAAGCAGAAAAAGACATGACATGTCTTGGCACAACGATGAAATTCATATAGCATTTGCAATAACTTTGGAAAAATACACCTAAGCTTCAGAATATGATGCTGTTCACATTTTAGCTACAGGATTTAATACACCCCAGAGAGGAGGTGGGCATGTACACAGGTAACAACATCCACAGCTGAACCAGTAAGTGCAAAGGGCGGTTTGGAAGACACGAAGGCTCACACGCCAGCATTCAGCACTGCAGCTTGAAGGCTTGCCAGAGCCTCCGAAAGCCCGAAAGACACCCCGGTTTATCTTCGGATTTCCTGCATCTTCTTATAAAACGCCTGCCCGACAGATGCGGGACGGGGGCGACAGCTACGACCCACCGCGGGCTCGTACACGCCGTGTCACAGCACGCAGCCCATCCCCTGCCTGCTACAGACTCCCCAAACGGGGAAGCGTAATAAATCCAAAGCTGCCCTTGGCACTTTCTCTGAAAAACGTCTGTTTTCACACATTCATATAATATTCCTATTTTCGTGTATTTCCAGGTCACGCTAGTTCACCTTAGAACAGCAGCTCCCATTTTTAAACTTCGCCCCCGATAAGGGGGGACCCTTTTCCCTCGGACCCCTCAGGAATCCCCACCTCCCCCTTGCCTAGCCCGCCGGAGAGGCTCCGCGCCCGCCGCGCCCCGCGCTGCGGAGCACACGCCTCGGTGCCAGACCGGCTCCGGCCTCCCGCGCCCCGGCCCGGCCCACACTGAGCTCCAGTGGCCAGTTCTCGAGCAGTGCGGCTGGAGCGGTCGGCCATGGAGGGGAGCGTAGAAGCGGCGCCGGAGCTGCCCGCCCCGACGCTGCTGCTGCGGCTGCTGCGCGTCCCCACTCTCGCTGGCCTGGCGCTGACCTGGCCCTGGGCCATCCCACCCGCCGCTGCCGCCGTCGGAAAACCCTCGCTTGCGCCGCTCCTCAACCGCGTCCCGCAGGCGGCGGCGGCGGCCGAATGCCGCAACCTCGCTCATGGCCAAAGAAGGAAGCCGCCCCGCCGCCGGCCCCCGCGTCCACCGCCCCGCGCCGGCCCGCGGGCAACGCCTTCACGAGCGCGGTCAGGGGCCGGCCGCGCCGCCTCGCTCGCTGACACGGCCTGGGGGCGACGGAGTCACGGGCTGGGTGAGGCTGGAAGGAGCAGCAGTGGGTCATCTGGTCCAACCTCCCTGCTCAAGCAGAGGCATCCTACACATGGCACAGGATTGTGTCCAGATGGTTCTTGAATATCTCCAGTGAGACTCCACAACCTCTCTGGGCAACCTGTTCCAGTGCGTGGTCAACTGCCCAGTAAAGAAGTTCTTCCTCATATTCAGGTGGAACTTCCTGTGCATCAGTTTCTACCTGCTCTTGTCCTATTGCTCAGCACCAGCGAGAAGAGCCTGGCTGAGAAGACCCATTGATGAGGTTCCTCTCTCAGTCATCTCATGCTGAACACGCCCAGCTGCCTCAACCTTTCCTCCTAAGAGAGATTCTCCAGTCCCTTGATCAGCTTAGTAGGTCTCCGCTGGACCTGCTCGAGGAGCTCCATGTCTCTCATGTCTCTGTCCTCAGCTGGCTTTGGGGTGGCTCAGCGGGACCACACACCACCTCCCCCCAGTGAACATGGATCGAGGCCGGCTGAGCTCATCAGCGAGCGGGGCACAGACGGCCCACATGTAAGGATGAGACCTGCAGCAGGACGAGTGTTCCCTCTTGTCACCAACACCGCAGTGTCACCCATGCCCTGCCCCAAGCAGGTGCCTGGAGCAGTGCCCAGCCACCACACACCCTGACACACGTGTGGCACCTCTGCACAGCCACCACACACCCTGACACACGTGTGGCACCTCTGCACAGCCACCACATGCTCTGACAAACGGCAGCCATGTGGTGCCTCTGCTTCTCTCTGCAGGCTTTGGGGGCACAGACAGACCCTGAGTTGCCCCTGCTGCTGTCCCCCAGTCCCCTTGGTGACAAAAGCAGAAAAACCTGGACCAGGCAAAAGCAGCATGAACTCTGGCTCTTGCTAAACCAGAAGCTACAGTAGGAATAATGAGGTTTCCAATATCTTTATTAACTTTGTTTGAGAGGAGAGCTGTTGGTTTGAGGATTTGCCTTCCAGAACTGATCTATACGGTTGGTTCATTGGTTTGCTCTTTCATTAAAGAAAACAAGAAACTCCACAACCAGTCAATGGTTATTTTTATGTAAAGCTATTAAAAAAGTGAGCTGCAAAACTGAAAACAGCTGAAAATGCAAGAAACAGGAGGAGAAAAAATGAAGTAGGGCTTTAAAATCCAGCATTTGTGAGGGGAGAGAAAAGTTGAACCAGAAACAGCTCTTACTGCAAGCATAACTTGAACAGCAAAAAAACCAACTAGATACTGCTACTGATAGTGCATCTTACTCTTGCCAACTTTAAGAGCCCCCTGACTACCTGCACTAAAGAAGCTGTTCCACCAGCTGTTATTGTCCAAGATTATACAAAAAGGCTTACTGGAAAGAAAAGTGGTTTATGTTCTCTTTCTGTGCTAGAAAGAAAAGAAATGCTAGTGGATCTACATCTAGTAATGACTTGTTCCAAGAATATATTTAAATTGACTGTATGAAATGGCACCTTCTCTCTCACAAGCAATTCAAATCACACATAGGCTTTACTTGCCACTACTGTGAGTATTAAAAAAGGAATTTGCTTATCCCAAAACTCCAGGTTTGGGCAAATACCCCATGGTTCTAACAGACCAATTTTTGGCACCCAGCTAAGAGGGATTTTGTTGCACAGGGATACTGTTTTGTATGTGTATCCCGCTGTGATTCAAAATAGCTGTTTTTTCAGGCTCGTCCATTCAGAATGATATCATGTCCCAAGTACTCTCGTTAAATTAATTGCCTGAGTTTTCTTTGTTTTACATGGTTGGATAAGCAAGGCTTGTTGCCTGTGAGCTCATGGAAATAACTTCATTTGAACAATTGTTCCATCCATCTCTCTACAGTCTCTATAGAAGATAATTAAAATCCATTTCCCACCCCAAACAGAAACCATTTGTAATCATGACATATAGTTTGCAGCTATTTATTTCCTGAGATCCTTCTATCTTTCCCATGTCAATTTATTTAGCATCAATTAGATTGGGTTTAAAAAGCAGAAATCCAAGTAGGTAAACAGCTCTGAACATTCTTTTTCCTAGCACAGGGGTTTAATTCCATACAGGTAGAAGCTGCAAAGAAATACAGGCACAGAACAGCTATATATGTCCAAACATATCACATTTGGCTTACTCTGTAACACCAAAATGCCATTTTACCCTAGAAGCGAGAATAGCAAAAACTGTGGAAAAAAAATGCAAGTTTAAAATGAAAATGGCCTTCCAGGACAAACCTTGACATCACTACCTGTGAAAACCGGGATTTTCCCATTTAGAAACTTGGAAGGACCTTGAAAATTGCTTTTCTTGCTCTCTAGGATGGTAGATTGCTCCCATCCCCTCTATTTCTTGCTGAGGTAAGTAAAGGGACAGTAGTCTTCACTTTTCCAAAATAACAAGTAGTTGGGCTGGAAAGATGGGAGTCCACCTCTAGAGGAAGAAAAGTGACTCACAGTTGAACTGGGAGAATTTTGCAGACACAAAAGGCAGGAATTGGGTCCTTTGGGGCCGCGAGAAAATGGGAGGAGGAAGGGCCCACACATCTGAAACAAAGCCCATATTTCACACTCCTCCTTGCCATCTATGGTGAAGCACAGTCAGGACTGCTGGTGATGCCACACCAACACCCCCCTCTCCTCATCATCTGCACAGCTGTGTCCATGTGAAGGGCTGCACAGCCCTGCTCTGGCTATGGGCACCAGTGAGAAGAACACGAGGAGAGTGTGTATTCCGTCATTCCTGCATTCCCACCTGAGCAGTGAAACCACTGGCTGTCCCTTGTTTAAAGTAAAGTGTCATAAAAAATGGGTACTGCTTACAAAACAGAGCAATGTACAGAAGTCTGATTCACATGCACAGCAGAAAGAGCAACTTTCCCAGGTCTTGGACATCTGATGTATCTGTAGAAGTTCCAGAGCCAAGGAGATGACCTACACCAAAAGCACTGCAAATTGTCATGCTGCTAAATAGCACCTTAGTTCCAGCTTTGCCTTATTCCAAACCCTGATATATACCTTGTCACATACCTTAACACTTACATATGAGCTGTCATGGAACAGGATCAAAGAGAAAGTCCACACCCAAGAAATGCCATCCAGGATTATATTCCTGCCTTTACCTACAGGAACTTAATCTTTTGAAGCTGAAAGAGGGGAAGTTTAGGTTAGGTATATGGAAGAAATTCTTCACTGTGAAGGGTGGTGAAGCACTGGAACAGGTTGCCCAGAGAAGCTGTGGATGCCCCATATCTGAAGTGTTCAAGGTCAGGTTGGATGGGGCTTTGAGCAACCTGGTCTAGGGGGAGTGTCCCTGTCTATGGCAGGGGGGTTGGAATTCTATGATTTTGTCCCTTCCAACCCAAACCATTCTATGATTCTTTCAAGAACCTTATGCAGGTGTTATGGAAATACAACAGTTCCCATGCATAGCAGAAGGATGCAGCCATGGCTTGGGCCAGTCAACCAAAACCAGCTTGCAGTCTCCCCAGCACCGTAACAACAGCATATAAGATGGGCCAACCTGAGTCTTCAGGAGATATTTTCAATCAAAATACATGTCTGCCCCCTCACTTCACACCTGCTGAACCTGTGCTGCTGTCTTTACTACTGTTGTTACCAATGCTAATTAAAACTAGCCCTGGGTTTGCCTATACATGCTGCAGTCATTTTATTGTGTAGGCAAGCCCCAAGGTCCCAAACCTGCCACAAGTCTGAATGAAGTCCTCTGTCTCAGGAGCGAACTCAGAGCTGGTATGACCATTTTGGGGCATGCAACAGTTCACTCTCACTGGAGGAAAGTCACCTAATAAATGAGCCAGTAACTTCTGTACAGCTGCAGATGCTCAGCCAATTGACAGTAGAGCTCTGAGCAAAAAACCAAAGGGAAGGACCTTCAAAAATTAGGATACTGCAGTTAAAGTGAACTTGCAGAGATTTACAAAAGGGAAGGACTTTCAGAAATTAGGATAGTACAGTGAAAGTGAACTTGCAGAGAACTGGAGTTCTCTGCAAGGAGAACTTTACATTAAATTTCCAGGCATGCAGAGCTTTGCCATTCAAGTGCACATTCAGCATTCAGAAAATTTGCCATAAATTTTCTGACCTGTTTACATCCGCTTTTAGAATATCTCAGACCATATTATTTGACCCAGATTGTTACTACTAAGCTCCAAACCACTTGAATTAAGAATTTCTACAGAAAACCTGAAGGGGTTAGGAGTGGCAAAGGAAAATGCAGATGCACTTTCATAAAGCTGCTTAGCTGGAAAGAATTGCCAGACTGTCTTTGTGCTAATGTCAGCCAATTTTTCTGAATTCATTTTGAAACAATTCATCATTCATCCTCCTCGCCTCCTTCCAATTTACAGCAGTCACTGTAAACATAACCAGGACAGCACAAGCAGATGATAGAACACTTTCCTTTTAAGAAAG